TCTGAAATAATAATAATAATAATAATAATAATAATAATAATAATAATAATAATAATAATAATAATAATAATAGTATTAATAATAATAATAGTATTAATAATAATGACGATGATGATAATGATGATGATGAATATAATAATAATAATAATAATAATAATAATAATAATAATAATAATAATAATAATAATAATAATAACAACAATAATCATCATCATAATAATCATAATAATAATAATAATAATAATAATAATAATAATAATAATAATAATAATAATAATAATAATAATAATAATAACAATAACAATAATAAAATAATAATGGTGACATCAACGATAAAATGGTTCCTCGATTCTTAATAATCTTCATTTTTGTCGCTGTCATCGTGTTTACAGCCCTATGATACAAGTGCTATCAAAGAAAAACATTCACTAATTGATATTTCTTCGCTTTGTTTCACCAATAACTTCTTCGGTGGAAAAAAGGTTTTCAAATATTTCTGCTTCTAAATATTTAACTATGATAAAGTTCACAAGAATGGCAGTGTGTAAAGGTCATTTGTTCCTCCCTTCGTTAAAATATAAGAGGTTTACGGGAAGGGGAGATATACCACACGATGAACTATATCAGGTATTTAACTTCGAAATATGAGGGGTTTTGTGCAACAAGATGAAATATATCGGGTATTAATGCAGGGAAATAAAATATCCTCTAGGAATCAATTATTGTATATGAACAAAACATCACCAATAAATATAAATAATTGTAATATTTATTCCAATTATATGATTCTTTAAATTTTCGCTCTTATTTAGTTAATGATGAATTTCATATATTTACAAATAGTTGACCAGAAAGAGAATATACAAACTGCTTACTGTTTGAATGAGAGGTGATGGACTAGATTGATTTTTGACGTCGTCCTCTTCCAGACTGACGAACCACCTATAATAATAATAATAATAATAATAATAATAATAATAATAATAATAATAATAATAATAATAATAATAATAATAATAATAATAATAATAATAATAATAATAATAATACATTACTTCTCACAATCATCGTTTACAATAACCTCCAGCAGCATCAAACGTCACAATGCCATTCATTAAACATGCATCAAATTGAAAAGTATTTATCATTCCTTTTGACTGTATTACTACCTATATTCAATTTATCTATTTTCTTACATTTCTTATCGTGTAAGAGAAAGACAGAATTTGTTACTGTTTGTGTTTTGACGGCATTTTTAACACACTATTGGATATAACTTGTCGAGCAAATGGAATCTAGTTTGTCTTTCCCAAGGATACAATGAGGCAGGCATCTATTTAAGGGTGACCGGTGCATGAAGACTTTCATTTACGTATTTCATTGAAAAAAGTTGAGTTCTTTAAATTTTTATATTACTTTTGACAAATTATTCGTTATATCAGGCTGAGAAATGGGAGCTGAGAGCCTTTCACACGGATATTAAGAGGCGCCTTATCTCGTTTGACATTGACCGGTCTCGAACTAACGAAAAATGGATTACAAGTCATAAGATCTACCGACTACGATATCACTGTTCTCTCAATGAAATAGAAAATTATTGTAGAGCATACGTGTGGAAAATGTAACATCAATAACAACTGAGTTCAATGTTTCCTGCATATCTAAAGCGATTTGGTGCCATTGAAAATCTTTTAGTTGCATTGGATTATATGCATTTAAACTTTTAATACAAAACTGAATTTTATTTATAATAAGTATTTTAATTAACGTAACAGCAATTACATATGTCAGAAAATAGTTACAATTACCGGTCTCTGTATACATTGTTCAGGTAGGGATCCAGTTTTAATCTGTTCTCAGGTGTTTTCCTTAAAACGAGAAATATATGATAAAGACATTACAGTTGTTGAAGTCATACAAAAGAACAACAAATGGTGATCTACAGATGATAGTTTTGTTGAATACTTGTCTTTGCAATTTTGTTTTATCAGCAGTACAAATCTTTGTTATTTCCTACGAGAATTTAAACTTCCCTGCTTGTCTGTTATCTTCCTGGTTGCTCTCTGCCTTATTGCTAACATTACTTAGTCCTAATGTGTTATATGTTCATTGACTGTTAATTATATATATATATATATATATATATATATATATATATATATATATATATATATATATATATATATATATATATATATATATATATATATATATATATATATGTCACGAAAGAAAATGATGCAACTGAGTCGGTGTTATATCCACTCGCAGACTTGGGTTCTAATATCTGTAGAGTACGAATTAAAAATTATCTAACCTGTATTATATTATTATGGAATCCAGGGATAACACTCTCCGCTCTGCCTGGTGTATATTTCTAATTCTCTCTCTCTCTCTCTCTCTCTCTCTCTCTCTCTCTCACTCTCTCTCTCTCTCTCTCTCTCTCTCTCTCTCTCTTTCTCTCTCTCTCTCTCTTAATCAAAATATATATAATATATAT